CTTGAGCAGTGAAGGCCTCCAGCTCCATCCTGCTTACTATTCTGCTGTTTATTCAGATGTCTGTTGAAATCAGTAATCTCTAGAAACTTCATACAGGCACAGGAAAACCTAATTTTATCTAAATGGAAACCATGGCTGCATCTTCCACTGGCAATTTCACTCACCATGCGTCCGTACATTTTGATGGGCAATCCACACTTATCACAGAAATGGACTGGTGTATCATCCTTTTCCCCCAACAAGTTTATCTGGTGGGACAGAGAAGAGGGTGAGAAAACAAGCCCCAGTATCACTAAAACTTCACATTTCAATTACCATCAACATACCCATTATTTCTGAATTGGCTGAAAAGGAAGCAACAATGCCACAAACAGGAGAAAGCAGAGGATGTATTTTCAGTCAGACAAAAATAACAAAAAAACTTTTAATTAACAAAGTATCTACCAGGACTATCTATAGTTTGGTATGAAACACAGGTGAAAATTCGTATCTTTACCTTATAATCCCAAAAAATGGGTCCAGGAAATCTCCTTTGGTTGCCAAACATTTCACCTCCTTTACATTCGTATCGCTCCTCCTTGTTATAATCAAATTCTTCTGTGGAAAGGAGAAAGAGAAGAAAGACACGAGCCAACCACAACACTTTGGAAATTGACACCAGCTGCTATTAAGAGCATGGGTCATTTTTATTGAAATCATCAAAAAATGCCACAGCACCTCCAATCTGCTGAGTCCATTCTACAGAAATGTAGAACCAAAGCAGTAAGACAGCCTGTTTTGGAAATGGGCACTACTGAAGCCCTACACTGAAGTAGCACTTGGAGATTTGAAACTTGTTTTGCATTTAGACAGAACCCTGGACTCTTAAGTCTCTGAGTAAAGTCTCGAAAAATCCTGTAGAATAATACATTTCCCTACTACAGGGAATTTATATGAATTTACCTTCATCACCAGCTTGTGTCTTCGAAGGCATCCTGTTCATATTTCTTGGAGTTCGAGGTGCAGGTTTGGTTTTATTGGTCTGTTTTGAAATAAGCTTTATAGGGATTCTTCTACGGACATCAAGACCACCCAAAGATCCTGAACTATTTGTTCCTTGCAAATCATTGTCTGTGAAAGAAAATTGTAAAAAGTATACATTATAAAAATTTATCTAATAGTCTCTAAAGAGGTTAAATATTAACAGAAATGTTTTAAGAAAACATTTAATTTTTAAAGCTTGCTTAAGACTCCTACAACATATTAAAATTTTATCACTAGAAAACAGGTATCCCTCACAGACAATACAAGAAGCCACATCACAAAACTGTATTTGGAACAGCAAGGAAGTTAGGAAATCTAGTTTAAAAATAAAGCTATTAAAATAATCTAGCTAGTCACACATTTCTCCACAACAGAAACATTAACCTTACAGCTCTTCTCACAGCGTGAAGAGCACTGGAGAGTCAATTCTTTGTAGAACCATGACTACACAGAATTTCTTATGTGAAAAGATAATTTTTACAATTTATGTGTATTGTTTACTAAAGTAGGAAGGAAACTAGTTTATCTATTAACTCATCATCTTGACATATCACTTAGAAGTTTATAAAAAAGTATCACAAAAATACTGGTACTTAGGAATACATAGTTACATCCTTCCTAAACTGAAAATTTTACTGTTCCCAGCTACATACAAAATTCTCCTTAATCAGATTTACATCTAAGTACCAGGGTGAACAAAACAAGAAATAGCCTGACACATGCATAAGCAGGTACAGGCTCCAAGAGATAACATAGAGCAGGCAATGCAACAAGCAACACAAATGAGGAGGCATAACTCCCTCAAACTCCAGTGAGTTTATCTGAAACCACCCCACAGCATCTCATCCATGAAAAAAAATGAAGTTACATCTTTCACAAATCTTCCCAGCTCACTGGAATTTTATCTGAAAATGCCACAGGTGTTTCAAAGCAGGGCACACTCAGTCTGGAAGGGGTGAGCCCCGAGCACTTACAGCCCTGCAGTTCCACAGGGTAGGGCACTCCAGCCCTGGAATGACTGCAGAGGCCCCAAGGATTGCAGTGCAGGACACTGAAATTAGGGTCCATTAGTGCAATTCTGCACAGTGCCTCACCAACTGCTGTCTCTCAAAGCCTATAACCACCACAACAAGTGGCATCATAACAATGCAACAAGTAGAAGGAAAAACAAGAAAAAATGGGATTGCTCTCAGTTTTTCAGCAGCTACCACCAAAGCCAGGAAATGTATCTGTTTCAAACTGGGACTGTGCCCTGGCAGTCCTGTACCTCCAAACCAAAAGCCCTCAGTTTCCTTAGATTGATCAAACTCCTCTTAGCACTATGGTTGACAGTTTCACTCTAAAAGGAAATACACTAAAGGCAAAAGCAATAAAGCTTTTTTTTACTTCATTTACTATTTCTTTCAGCTGTCCAGATGAACCTGCAAACACTCAACTATATCATCAGGCTTCTGCAGGGAGTGCTTGACCAAGGCATCAGAGGTAAAGCTGCTTGTTTTCCATGTGTTGGGAAATTGTTTTCTACCAGAATACACAAAACCACAGCACCATAAACCACAAAGATCTCTGCTGCAACTCAGTCCATTTGCAAACAGGGACAACTAAAACGAATTTTAAAAATCAAACACTTGTTTATTAGTTAGTCCATTGAACTGCCAATACATAGTCGCTTTTCCTCCTTATAGCCTTTTGTACCAGGAATACTTACATGAGCTAGCTGCTTAACTATCCAAACTACCAAGTTTACTAGTCACTCATGCTTTACAGAAAGATAATAAATTCCAGTCTGCATGAGCATAGCTTGTGGGATTATGTCCAGAAAAAACTACAACAAACATACCAGACTTGTTAAGACTACTTAAAAAAGCTCTAATTAGAAGTGATGCAACCTAGTGAAATGTCACCTTCAACTTAGTTTTACTTTTGCATTTCAAGCTTTATTAAAATTCACAAATAAAACTCAAATACTTTATACAAATAGTCATAAAGCAATCTTTTGTAAGGGAAAGGAAAAAAATCCTCCAAAACCACCCTAGCACAAAGCGCACGTCCATTCATTTCTTCACTGCACTACGCCAGCGCATTAACTCGCGAAGGATCACAGCTGCGCCAGCGCGCTCACCGGCGAACGACATTTAACCCACCACACCGAATTTAGGCACGGGAGGAAGCTTCCTCTCGGGCCACGACCGCGGAACCAGGAGACACACTGTGGGCCGCACGCCGGGACCGCCGCGGGCAAAGGAGCGTCCGTGCCCCGCCTCCGGGAGTCGCGGGCCGCAGCCGGCGGGGCCCGGCCGCTCCGGCCCGCCCGGCGCCCGCCGCTCCCCCGGCCCGGGGGTCCCGCGGCCGCTCCGCCCGGCGGGGCAGCGCCGGGCCCAAGGCGGCAGCGGGGCCGCGGCGCCTGCCCGGGCAGGAGCAGGAGCAGGAGCAGGAGCAGGAGCAGGAGCAGGAGCAGGCCCCGCGGCGCGCCCGAGCCCCGCCGGCGCTCCGGGGCCGGGCCGGGCCCGGCGCCGCCGCCCCTGCGCCGCCCCGCGCCCCCCGGCCCCGCTGGGCCGCTCCCGGAGCGGCGGCGGGCGCGGGCCCGGCGGGGCGGGCACGGACGGGCCCCCGGCCTCCCCCTGCTCACCATTGTGGTCCATGATGCGGCGCGCGGCGCTGTGGGAGCGGAAGGGCGCGGCCGGAAGCGGCGGGGCCGCCTGCCCGAGCCCCGCCAGCGCTCCGGGCCGGCGGAGCCGCCGCGGCTTGGGGCTGGGAGGCGGCCCCCGGGGCTTTGGGGGAAGGACGGAGTGAAAACACGAGCGGTCTCTCGGTTCGGAGCCGTGCAGGCCCCGTCCGGCCGCCTCAGCGGCGCAGGCTCCACACACGCTGGGAAGATGCGGCGCCGCAGCGCGCTCTGGGCTGCTGGTGTCAGCATTAAGTTCAGCATGGAAATGGCAGATTGGTGAGCCTTAAATTATAGCAT